GAAAAATTTCAGCAGCAGATTCGAAGGGAGAACTAAATTTAATGTTAGATTGATCAAGATCTCCAGTCTGAGGACAGGAAAGGAGAAACAACAAAGATAACAGAGACTAAGAGAACTGTGAGACATCATGAAGAGTATTAATGTATGTGTAATGAGAGGAGAGGAAAGAAAGGACAGAAATGGTTGGTGAAACAATGACCAGAAAATCACCAAATATGATGAAAGCCATGAATCTACATATCAAAGTAGCTCAATAAATTCTAAGTAGGATAAACAAAGAGTAGCATTAGTCCTAAAAGCCAAAATGAAGGGGGGAAAACCAGGCAAGGTAGCACACACCTATAATCTCGGCACATGAGAGGCTGAAGCAGGAGGGTTGCTGTGAATCTGAGGCTACATAGTGAGTTCAAGCCCAGCCTGAACTACACAGAGACCCTGTCTCAAAAAACAAAACATGTGGAAACAACCTGATGTCCCTCAAATTGATGAATGGTTAAACAAAAGGAGGTATATCCATTCAATACTGATACTAGTCAGTTAAACAACAGAAGGATGAACCTTAAAATCATAATGGTAAAAGAAAGAAGCCAGACACAAAAGACTACATGTTATATGATCCAATTTGGACAAATGTCCAGAACAGGGAAATGATAGAGATGTAAAGTAGCTTGGTGATTGCCAGGGGCTAGAGAGGAGGAGGAATAGAGAGTGGAAAGATGATAACATTCTGAAATAGACAGTGTTGGTGGTTGCACAATATTGTGCTTGCATTAAAAACCACTACACTGTATTTATACTATAAAAGGGTTAAATTGTTACTTTTTCTTTATGGGAATTTGGGCTCAATAAAAAACCATGTTACAGGCTAATAAAATGAAATAAAAATATGTATATGAAAAAGCATTCCCTTCCTTCTTTTCTCCTTGCCCTCATCCCAGTTGTTCTTTCCTTTTGAGTAGTTTCTCTTTCACAACATCTATTGTATCTTTTTAAATTTTTTTTTTACTCTTTCAGTTTCTTACACTAGGGAGACAATATGATGCTTACACATGCAAGTCTGGTTTATTTCACTTATGAATATGGTCTGTACTTGCATTGCCTCCACTTACCAAAAACGAACAAATTAACAGCAACAACAACAGCATATATATATACATACAAGATAGCTAAGATAATTGTACTATTAACTTCACTGAAAGGAACAGTTAGTGCTTATATTGTTGGATCAATTTTGCATAGTTATATCTTATAATGTGAGCAACTACTTTAAAGATAACAATATGCAGTATAGTAACCATTGTTAATTTCCTATCATCTTGTTTTGAAATTCTGTATCATTTTTACTGTTTCTTTTTCCTCTCTTTAAAATAAAAAAAGCATTAACCCCAAAGTATTTATTTATCTGCCCTTCTAGTTTTAAGAAAATGCCATTCGTGTCTGTCAGTTGCAGTCAGGAGCTGTTAACTTGCTTGCCCATCGCAGTGCATGCAATGCCCCACTCGCTACAGGTTCCAGTGGTCTAAAGAAAATTCAAGGAAGTCAAGGCACCAACATCATGCGGGAATGTGAAGAACCTGGTACTTACAGCTTGCATTATAACTGGAGAATGCTTTTTCTCTTAGATAATCTCCAAAATATTTTAAGCCAGGAGCTGGCAAACTACAGCCAGCGAGACAAACCCAGCGTGCCACCTGTTTTCATTAAACTGGTTCTTGCAAAGCCAAGGGAGGAAGGGATGGGTGTGGGTCACCCAGCATTGCTCCTTTGGCCTTGCTAGAACAGAGTCTCTGGGCCCTCACCCAGCAAGCATCTGCTGTGAGCCTCATCTCTTCCCTTTCTTTTTCCCCTCCAGAGACTCCTGGCCCTGGGAGCTGTGTGATTTGGTGGTTTGGCTTCACCCAAAGGGAGGCTGTTTGAAGGCTCAGAAGCATTGCTCAGCTGAAATATGATCTTCCAAAAAGAATTTTATTCTTCTCAGTAGACTTGTGTTACAAAAAATCATATTTTGTTATTGTCTTAGTTACTTTATCTTTGCTGAGACAAAACACCCTGACACCCAAAGTTAAAGGAAGAAAGGTTTATTTCATCTTCCAGTTTGCAGAGGTTTCAACCTGATGTTGGCTGGCTCCAAGGCAGGATGGCACGGCAGAGGGGCATGGCAGTGGAGAAACAGTCCATGGCAGGCAGGCAGGAGACAGTGAAGCAGCAAGCAGTAGCAGCAGCCTACTTTTCCTCTCCCTTTATATTCCATCTAGGCAATATGCTTATTGATTGGTGCTACCCAAACCCAGGGTGGGTTTTCCATTATCCACACCCAGAACTATGCTAATTCCAATCAATGGATTAATTTAGTAGCACACATACTTACTCCCAGTATCACACACCCTAGATCCATTCAGCTCTGAAAAGCCCCACCTATGAGCTCATGAGGCATTGGTGGGACATCTAGATACAAGCCATAACAGTTATTATTGTATTTGAATTTTGTCAACAAAATGTAGTGGACATTTGTTTTTTCTTTTGTTGTATGTGTACCTATATAATATTTCAAATTTTCTTTTGGTCTGGTAAAGCGAAAAATATTTACTACTGGTTGCTATGGTTTGAATAAGGGTGATTCCCCCAAAGACCCATTGTCAAAAGCAGTGTTATCAGTGTGGCACTACGGGGAGGTATAGTGAACCTTTCATGTGTAGGCCCCAAGGGAGCTTCTTGGGTCATTGAGGGTGCACCACTTAGGTTTTCAGTGTCTCTCCACTTCATGGCTGAAGATGTGAGCCCTCATTCCACACATGTTCTGTTGGGATGTGCCTCTCTCAATAGAGGTCTAAACCCATGGGACCACCTCATATTGGATTTGAATGTCCAGAGCTATGAACTAAGTAAATCACTTCTCTTTATAAGTTAATTGCCTCAACTATTTCAT